ATAGAATAAGGTGTACAGTGCAATATAATTTGTGTACATTGAAAAACCTGCATATAAGACATCAATATTTGCATACGTACCAGAAAGGAACCACGCATGGATCAATGAGGATCGTGCATGATGAGCTGAGGATTTTGATTTGACATCTAATGTTGAATTTGCAAAGGAAGGAAGGAGGGAATCACAATGGAGGGCTACCCCTATTTAGGTGCTCCTGCTGAGCCTGCTGGTGTCTGGTAAGGCTACTTAACGGTGGTCTTCAAAGAGGGTGGTCCAAGGTTTTGCCATACAAGGATGGCCTCTAGAAAGTTCCCCGCCAAAGAAATAACTGAAAGAGGGGAATTTGGGGTTGATCCATCCATGGAAGAATCCAACGAGAAGGGGAGTATGGAGACCAGGTGGCCAGAAGTAGATGGGTTAAGTTTGGGAACACTGTTTAACTAGGCAGGTGTTAGAAACAGAGCGACTCTTGCACCATTGGGAATATAGACCTGTGTATAGCTGATCTGTGGAGATCTGGCAGAGGGTGGCAAGGAACACAGCAAAGCCACTTCTAGACCAAGAGGGTGGAGGCCATGCAGCAGGAAGGACCCTCCTCATTCACCATAGCGGGCAGCCACACTGATTCAAAGAAGCCAAGAGTCCAGATGTATTAGGGCTGAAGGGTATAGTGTAGAAACAATAATTTAAAATTAATTTAAAATGTAAACCACAGGGGTACCCGAACTCAAGTCCCAGTAAAAAAATTGATAAGGTTGCACATGTTCTGAAATGCTTTTCCGAAGAACCCAAAAGTCTTATCAAGTAAGGCTCCGAGTAATGCATTGAAACAGTTCTCTGATGTACAAATACTTATAATCAATCTCTGTTTTTAGTTTTCTATAAACAAAACTACTCCTGGATATTACTTTCTAGCATCCTTTTCTCTCTGTTTTTAACAGCTGCCAATTTTGTTCCAGAAGCAGAGGATTTAAAAATTTTTCTTATCTCGGATCCCTATATTCTAGGCTGGGCAGCCCTGAAATAATTTTTTAACTATTCGTGTTGCTGGTCTTTAAGGACCAGTAAGTGCTCTCAGCATGTCACCATGGAAACCAGTGCTGTCAGGTTTTATCAATCTTGTCTATCTAAAACCTTCCTGCCAATTTGACTGCTAAAGATGGGAGACCCAGACCGTAGCCGTGATGGGCTATAATATAACCAATGACCCTGAGAGTCCAGAATTTTTATAGGAAAGACTTTGTAAAATCCAAGCTGGATTTTTAAAAAACATGGTGGAAAATTTTATATAAACATTTATGTTAAAATCATCCCATGTGCAACTACAAGTCTAATATGCCATCATCCTTAATATGACCCTTCCCTTTGTACAATGGCCCTTGAGACATTCCTGCTAGATGGTATGTTCTGTGGGGAGGAACAATGTCAGCCTTGCTCACACTTATCAACCATGGCCCGGTACTGGGCCTAGATTATGGAGTGACTCAATGATAAGTGTGGAATGAATGAGTGAATGACCCTAGCTGATTATTTCTCTTTCAAATGGGCTGTCTATGCAGTGGTTCTCAGACTTCTGGATTTCTTAGACCAGTAACATTACAAAAAACATATATATAATGATGCTGACTTGGAGTTTGTCAGCTGAGGACTAACAACAGAACGAAATAACACATAAACATCTCTATGATGATAACTTCATAGAAGAAGCCTTTTCTTTCTTTCTTTAACTTTAGAAAAATCGTTTATTATAAAAAGGCAGGAAAGAGCTGATCTGAGAATAAAAGTAAGTTCTTTAAATTCATCCTGTGTAGCTTTTAAAAGATTTATACGATGTCCTTATTTCTCCTTTTCATTGCAAACCAGTGAATACTTTGTCATGGATTAGGACTGGTTCTTTGACCAGGGTTTGGAAACCAGATGTAATTGAATGGTTTGCCTAAAATATTTTCTGGGATAAATCATTTTCTACCTTTTTATTCCCTGCCTAGTGTTTTGTACTGTATTAGTTGGTTTCTAGTTTGGAGCATTTAAAAAAGTCTCCATCCCTTTTAAATACAATAGATGAGATCTACATTCCCTCCCCCCTTCCCCCCCCCATAAGTTTAACTGTTTGCTTAAAATGCTTTCAGTTGTAATTATTTCCTTCTTTTTTTCTTCTCTGCCTTGTACTATCTGATTTTTGCTATTTTACGAGAGTGGCTTTAAGAGGTAAGCTCTCCTCCTTACCTTTGTCGTCTTTGAAACTTATTGCTAGCATCTGGCATCCTCATAATTCCTTTTATTCAAGGAGCTTAACGTGCTTTGCATAGTATCACCTAATCCTCTAATCTAGCATTTTCTGCTTGGCGGAGAGGGAGGCAGGCATTTGTACTAAGGCCCAGCCTCGGTGATTTAGGAGTTTAACGTTTTCTATCAACTTTTCCCAAGTTGCAAGCTTTGGCTTGGAAGACTGTGAAGTTGAATGTCGGGTCAAGGTTGCTTTGGGGACACCTAAATACAGAAATTGAGGCTTCAGTATCCAGAGGCGAAAGCTACCTTTACAAAACAGCTTGGCTAAGAAGGGCCTGGGGATGTTTGTCCCTCTAGTGGTTCCATCTCATTTTCGCAAGGAAGATATGTGACTGTCTACAAGAAAATATTTACTGTTAACAGAAGATAAATTTACTGCCCATTGTAAGGAGAGGATAATATTAAAGGTATTATTTCTTCATGTAAAATTAATTTCATGATAGATGTATTCAGCGTTTTGCTTTGTTTTTCCTGGAAAGGAATGAACTGTTTCCGAGATGTCAAAGATAACAAACTGTGCTAAGAACACCACCTAGCGTTGAGCTTGGAAGTGACTGCTATATTAAACAAGACTAGCAATTTTAAGCTTTCTTCATCTGCTAATGTGAGAGTGTATTTTGAGTATGGTTTGCTGTGTTGATTGCTCATTTTTTCCTCAATAATTCCTTTATTTTGATTTTAAATTAATCACTTGTCAACAACTATGGAAGTGGTAAGAAACAGCTTACAGATATACTTGAAAATACTGAACTGACAGCTAAATTGAATAGAATACATCTTTGGGTAGTTCTTATTTTGTCATTTACTCCAATTACATTCAAAGTCTTTTATATATCACCTCTGTCTGAGCTGTGACAACTCTAACTGGGGCATCAAAAGGGATGGAAACCAGCTAATCTCTACTTCTACTTTTCTGCAAGCTTGGGCAGGGCAAAATGAGCCTCACAGTATAGAAAGTAGAATGCTCAACAGAGTTGAATCAACATAAAGTGCCACCAAAAGAGAGGCATTGAACAAACATTTCAGGTTAGAAAATACTCCTAAAGACCTGTTTCTGACCAGAATTGGCAACTGTGAAAAATGGATTGGCTAGACAGCAGCCAAGAGAACCAGTACTGAACTGCAAGTCAAGAGACTGGGTTCTGGGCCTAAATTCCCAAATAACCAAAATCATTACTCAAAACCAACCACTGAACACCAGCTTGTGGGGAAACAAATGTGGCAGGTGACAAAATAACAATTAAGTACATGTATATATGCACACTAAAGTCATATAGAAATAAAATCAAAACACTTTAGAATCAGAAGAAATCAGAGATCTTCTAATTAGTCTAACTGTGCCAGTGTACAAATAAGAAAACTTTGGAATAATTATTGTCAGTGAGCATTAGTATGAAAGGAATTAATTTTAACTCTCATATAAGACAATGATTTTTTTTAACATTTTCAATTTTATGTCTAATTAGATAGTGATCACATATATCACAAGATTACTAAATCAAGTAGATTTTTCTACTTTGTAATTCATGTCAAATTTAATAGTGTCTTCACTGATTCCCTGTCCTGAGAGAGAGTATTTTCATTTTCCCTCTTTCTTAAGAGTAACAACACACTTTCTGTAATCTTCAACTCCTTTAGTACCAAGGAGCCCTTCTTTATTTACTTCCGTATTTTTCTCAGCAGCTCTAATCTGAAGAAGTGTTTCCAGGATACTTTTTCCCGAGGAGCTATTTTTCCGTATATACTCTTCCATGTCTGCATCAGTCTTATTTATTTCCCCATTTTTTGGTTTTCCAAGACCTGTGGTATAAAACTGTTAGTAGATACATTCCACAATCATAATTCTGTCTCTTAAATGGACACCTGTTTTGATGGTAAGCACACCTGTGGTCTTACGATATGGTTCTCCTACAAGTTTAATAAGTTTCTTTTTGCATGGCCATCCAGGGGGTCCTCAAACTACCGTCCCACGGGCCACATGCGGACCTCCAAGGACATTTATCCAGGCTGCCAGGTGTTTTTGCCCCCACTGCCTGTCCTGCTTAGCAGCGACTGGTCCCGGGCCCACAGTGCGCATGTGTGGAATGTGCCCGCACTCTCCAATGGCCCTGCAACGGTCTGAGGGATGGTGAACTGGCCCCCTGTTTAAAAAGTTTGAGGACCCTTGGAACCCTTAAGGTAACTGCTCGTGCTTTGGGGTTTGAAAAGATAGATGGCCCTGATGAAACATAATGAGCAGTGTCAATTCCAATTGGAAAGTGCTTTTCGCATCTCCCATTGCTGTCTAGTGCAATTGGCCACTCAATGCAAAAACCTTTAAGAGCTTCACGGTGCCTTTTAATCGCTACAGGAGTGAAATGCAGAAAATTGGGGACCTTTCAAAGCCCTAGGTTTCCCGTCCTTTGCCCCGGGCACGCCAACCCATTCCAACAGGAAGGGGCCTGCAGAGGGTTTGCATGGCGCTGCACCAGGGGAAACGCGAGGCCAGGCCTGGTCAACGGCCATTTTTCTCTGTCCCAGGAGGTAGACCCTTTCCTTTCGGCAGCCTTTCAGTTCTGGATGTTCTTTGCGGGCTGGGAGAGGTCGGGGACGCAGCGGTGGGGAATGCACGCAGGGTCCCGGCCCCCAAGCGGCAGCGGCCACTGCGCCTGCGCGGACGGCAAGCCGGAGGGGACAGGCGGGTCCGCCTCCCGGAAGTGAGATCGCTCATTCTCATTTTGCTTTGAAATTGAGTTTGCCTGGGACCCTGGGCTTTGTATTACTCATATTGTTGTGTGCTTTTCTTTTCCAGGTGCACGCACGAGCCCCAAATTCAGTTTTTATTGGTTTTAAGTGAGGATTGGCTCCGGTGTGGGTTCAGGGCTCCTGGACTTTGATCATTGGGGTCTCAGCTGTCGTCGCTTCCAAGGAGCCTTCCATGGTCTCTCCTCCAGTCTCATTTTCTGCTGTGGGGTGGTGGCCCCATCTTTCCATTTTTAAAGACTCTGTACGTATATTTTTATTCTTGTCACTCTGAAGTGTGATTGGCTAGGCACTCGTTTCTCATCGAATGGGGAGCACATTCCTCGAGGGCATGTGGCAGGTCTCAGGGTTCGTGTCTCACCTTCGACATCAATGTGGTGGACTGGAACGAATGAATGAATGAACCCATGAATGAATGAAAACGGTTTTCTAAGTAAGGTTGAAGGGCAAGGCTAATTTGTTTTCTTTGTAACTCCCAGCTCTCTCCTATGCTCAGCAAAGTATTAAACCTGAAGCGTCTGAATTTAATAACACTAACAACTCTATGTAAGATCTTAGCAGGATAATCAAAATCACGGTTTGAGGGCAAAACCTTGAATTCAAAGGTGAAAGAAGCTTTGATGACGGTTGGCATGCATCTGCCTTTAAGAATTGAATGCCCTGCCCCCTCTCGTAACTTTACAAACCAGAACATAACTGTGTTTTTTTTTTTTTTCTTATGCCAAGGTTCAAATACACCCTGACCCGTGAAAAATGAGCTCACGTGCAGCAGGGCCCAAGCACAGAACTACTAGAGGGATAGAAATGAGAGTCAGGTAGAGGGATGATCTCCTTTGAGGAAGATCCGGTTCTCCTTCCTGGACCCACTGCCGACCTGGGATAGGTTGCTGATCATTCCCTGAAATTAAACAATTTAATCTTCCTGTTTCTTAAAGAGAGATCCTCCTTATCCAAAGCTAAAGACGTGGTCCAGGACCAAAGTTTGCTCCCCACTGCACACACAAGCTCGAGACCTCTTGCTTCTCACATTGAATAGAAAGATCTGTTCCTACAGCTGTCAGACAAAAAGCATTGTGGAGTTTGTAATAATTTTCCAGAAAACTGATGGGTCATGATTTGAGGAAGACAGAGGCTGATCTTTTTGAAAAAAAAAAGGAGCAGTCTACACATCCTGCCTATTGTGAGGCATGAATAATCCTTAAATGGGTTAATAGAGTAAATAATTTAGCTAGGGATGTGGTCCACCATTTGGAACAGGATTGAATCACTTATAGAGGGTGAAAATACTTCTGTTCAGCTTAAGATAATTAATCCTATGTGTAAGATTGCTCAAAATTACCTGATCCCGTTGAGAAAGAGTCCTGTGGTCTCCAAAATATGATTCAGGTTATAAAATTGAGAGAAAACACACACAATCATCTATGGAGGATTATCCCTTATAATTCCTCTATCAGGGGAAAGGTAGTTAAGAATATAAAATTTATAGTTGTATTCACCTGAACTAGAACCTGGTTTTGTTACTTATTTGCGACATGATTTTGATAAAATTATTTAAATTGCTAAGCCTATTTCCTCATTTGTAAAATGAAGTCTACACCTACTGTGTTTCCCTGAAAATAAGACAGGGTCTTATATTTATTTTTCCTCAAGAAGACACTGTAGGGCTTATTTTCAGGGAATGTGTTATTTTTTTTTAAGTACAGTACAACAATCTACATTTATTCAAATAGAGATAAGTCGTCTTCTTCTGTAACACCATCATCACTCTCCAAACCCCGAATTCCATCCTGAATTTCTTGCAACTCTATTTCCTTTAGAGCCATCCGCCTTCATCTCTCCTGTCAAGTACTAGAGCTCTCATGGGGCAGATGAGAAGGGCTGCTTGTGTTCTTTCCTGCTCTGCCACGACATGCATGGGTTGTGCAGATGCGCTGCATAGCCACTCCCCGTCACTAGGGCTGATTTTCATAGCCACGCCCATCACTAGGGCTGATTTTCATAGCCACGCCCATCACTAGGGCTGATTTTCATAGCCACGCCCACCACTAGGGCTTATTTCATAGCCACGCCCACCACTAGGGCTGATTTTCATAGCCACGCCCATCACTAGGGCTGATTTTCCGGGTAGGGCTTCTATTGTGTACATGCTTAGAAATCCTGCTAGGGCTTATTTGATGGGCAGGTCTTATTTTCAGGGAAACACGGTAGTACGGACGTGTAGGTTAGTTGTAAGGATGAAATGAGGTGTACTCATGCTTAGCAGACTTCCTGGCATACAAGTAAGTATTGAATACAGACACGAGCACCAGTAGAGATTCGATGTGAGCACTTCTTCTCCCAGTATCTCCAGAGTTTTACCAGTTCTCATATGGCCTGGACACAAGGTGGTCAGGTTGTCCTTCATGATCTGTTGACATGGTTACCAGGGAATTCGCTCCCAAAGGCCTGCACCCTTGGCTGTAGCTCAGCGAGACAGCATGGTTCTGTGAATGCCAGACCCTCACCTCCCCAGGCCTTTGTCCTGCTGTTCCATTTGCCTGGGATAAAACTCCTTCACCGCCACCCCTTGACTTCTTACCCTTCCAGACTCCAGCTCCTATGCCACTTCCTCTTGGTGGCCTTACCTTGGCACCCAAGAAAAGCAAGTGGGTTCCTCCCAGAGCACATCTGGGACTCTTTCTCTGAGCATGAACAGTTATTTATCTCCCCTGTCATGCTGCGTGCTCCTGTGCAAGGCAGAGACCGTGAGCTATTCATCTTCATCTCCCAATACTTGCTTTATCCTTGGCGTGTTGCAGCCCATCAGCAAATGTTTATAAGAACAAAACGTTCAGTGTTGTGAGCATTGATTGCTCATGGATGGAATCAGAAAGAGCTTCTCCGCCTCTCAGCCCCATGGCTCCATTCTAGTTAAATCCCCAGAAAGTGTAGCACAAAGGAAAGTGGCAGTACCTAGGTAATGACCTTTTAGCATGTCTGAATACGTGGGAGAGAGGCAGGGAGACGTCGGTTGTTAAATAATCAATACAAGTGGCCCTTGAGTGAGACATAAGGGAAGTTCTCCAGGGACAGTCCAGATGGCTCATATGAAACTGTGGTTTTGGATGAGCTTAGCCAAGTCCTTTGTCCTTTGATACAGACAGCTGTCCCTGGAAGAGTAGTCATGGGAGGCCACCTCCCCCCTGTCTTCCAGATTTGATATGGATGGGACCTTGAAGCGACCCCTGCTAACTTTTGCCTCCCAAACCCCCTGCCACTATTGTTTTAAATCAATGAATAAGAATAGGTGAAGTTCAAAAGAGTGTGAAGGTGGGGCAGATCTATAGCATCACATTGTATCTCAAATAATATGTCCTGGGAGACAGAGAGGTCAGTTGGATTGAGGGGGCTGCTGTTTCATGCAAGAATGTGTTTATGCACATGTGTGCACAGGCGTCTGGCTGGAGGTTACACACAGTGGAGATGGTGGCCTCAAGGAGAAGCCTCTGAATTTTCTAGGGCCACGTTCAAATAAGAGGTACATCTTGGAGTTAGGCTGTCTGGCTCCAGGGGTGAGAGATGCTGACTGAGCTTAGGTCCTGCCTGTCAAGAGGTATAGATAGAGGTCAAGGTCAGACTTCTTTTGCTATAACAAAGAGAGGCCAGCCCTTCACTTCAATCTCCCTTTAGGGGGATGGGAGGGTGAGCAGGAATGGTAGGCAACTCCCCACATTTCTTAGAGAGTTGTGGGCAATACTCCTTTTCCCAGCTAACCAGCCACCAAGCTTCCTGTCTGATCAGAGTGGGGCACAGCCGGGCAAAGAAGGGGCAAAGACCACTCTCCAGGGCTGCTGGTTTCTGAGAGGCCCCAAAGGTGTGTTGAGCCTGTGGCCCCGATTGGGGCTGTGGATAGTATGTGAGACTGGGCACCTCAGGCTTACCAGGGACTGCCAGGGTGACAACCGAAGAGGCATGTTCTATCAGGGGAATACGGTTGTGGGCCAGTGTTTGTGGATCAGAAGTAGATAGAATCAAATGTCTTTTTCATTAGGGATTATTATAGTTTCCATCTGTAGCCATAAGCCAGATTAGTGGCCTCAATTTACAGAAACGGAGTGTTGCTGCTATAGCAAATGACCATAAACTGGGTGGCATTTTTTTTTTTTTTTTTGAGACAGAGTCTCACTCTTGCCCCGGCTAGAGTGCCATGGTTTCAGCCTAGCTCACAGCAACCTCAAACTCCTGGGCTCAGGTGATCCTTCTGTCTTAGCCTCCTGAGTAGCTGGGACTACAGGCATGTGCCACTGTGCCCGACTAATTTTTTTCTATATATTTTTAGTTGGCCAATTAATTTCTTTCTATTTTTAGTAGGGACAGGTTCTCGCTGTGGCTCAGGCTGGTTTCGAACTCCTGACCTTGAGCGATCCACCCACCTTGAGCTCCCAGAGTGCTAGGATTACAGGTGTGAGCCACCACGTTCTGCCTGGGTGGCTTCTAAACAACATAAATTTATTTATCACAATTCTGAAGACTGGAAGTCCAAGATCAGAATGCTAGCATGGTTGGATTCTGGGGAAGACCTTATCCCAGGTTGCAGACTGCCATATCCTTGTTGTATCAGTACCCGGCAGAAAGAGGGTTGAGACAGCTCTCTGGTGTCTTTTTCTTTTTTATTAAGGCCACGAATCCTATTCATGAGGGCTCTACCCTCACCACCTAACCACCTCCCAAAGGCCCTGCCTTCTAATAATATCACATTGAGGGTTAGGATTTTGACATATGAATTTGGGGGGACATAAAACATTCGATTCATAACGGGGGCAAACAACCTCATCACAATACTCAAAGGGAAACTTTCCCCCTCTCTGCCCTCCCAGCTCAATACCAGAGAAGTAACTGTTTGAGAAAAGTCAGAGGGAAAAAGAATCTCCATGCACCAGCCTATGCAGCTTTGAATCAAATACAACGTTGAACGTTTAAAGTATGTATGAGTAAGTCTTGGTAACCAGATGAGATGGTTTTAATTACCAAAAATGAAAAAAAAAAAAAAAAAACAGTTGTAGAATTGGATTAAGATGACTTAAAGAAGCCACCACCCAATGGGACTTCAACAGAGAGCAGTGAAAAACAAACAGTTAATTGGAAAATAAAATAGAGTCATTCACACTTACCTGCCAATGAGTTACACCTTCCTAAACTGGTTGTGTATGTATACATTTCTACTCTGCTCTTTCTGAAAGTGATTTAAGGCAGTTTTTAAGGATGAGTGTCTATGTTAGATCAGTTCGCTTAGAGATGAGCCTGGATATCTGTGCCCAGTTACCACGACTGGTCTTGAGTGAAGAACTTCCTTAGGACGTGAACTTTGTCCATTAAACTTGAGCATCACCTGGCTCAGCGCCTTAGCAAAAGGGGCCATGACAAAAAGAAAAAAAACATCCTTTGATGAGAGTGAGGACATGGCTGTGCTAGCCACTAAAGAGTTAATAATCTTCATTGTCAGTAGGCTGGTGTTAATGAATTCATCTTTCCTATTATATAAGTAGTGAAATGTCTGCAGAAATCTGTCCCAGATGTGGTCTCCCTGACACTTTCCTGACAGTTATGGGGATTTGGGGAAGGGTTGACTTTTCGTGGATGACGTCTCAATAAATCAGCAGTCACGTGGCCACCCACCCGGAGCTGCCCGCTGAACCAATGGAAGAAACCATTCTGGGGGGGCCATTTAATTCGTAAAAAAATTTTTGAAATAAATTTAGATTTGAAAAAGAAGAATACAGAGTTCCCATATATCTATTGCCCAGCTTTGTCTAACGTTAACGTCTTACATATCCGTAATACCTTGGTCCAAATGGACCAATGGAAACTTTCCAAAGCTTCCATTGAGAAATTAACATTGGTAGAATCCTGTTAGCTAAACAAAGACTTTGCTAGTTTCTCAGCTAAGGCCCCTTTTCTCCTCCAGGACTCCGTTTGGGATGCCACGTTGCATTTCGTTGTCTTGTTTCCGCGGTCTTGAAGGAGAAGCTTCAAACCTGGAGTCTCTGCGGAGGCTGAGGCGGGAGGCCTGGCAGGCTGGCCTCCTCACTTCCCCGGGGACCCAGAGCCCCCCAGGACACACCTACTGGAGTTGCCCGTGCTCCCCTCCTTGTTACGAAGCCACCAAAGGCAGGCTACTGCGGTTCCCACACTTTTCATTTGGGATTACCTGGCGAGAGCAGGGAAACATCGGAATGTTCTGGAAGCGCCAGGGACAAAATGGCGGCAGCTGGATCTTTGCTTGTGTATCTGTTCCTCCCCTTCTTTCCTGCACTGCTCAGCGCTCAAGAGTGCAGTCCCCGCCCCTGACACATGGCAGGCCCCTTTGCCAGCTGGGGGGCGATTAGTTCAGTCAAGGGGCACAGGTGAGAGGTGGAGGAGCAGAAGGCATGGTCGTGCCCCCACTTGCCCTTCTGCTTTGGGTGGGGACATCTCTGGGCAGCCCCATGTGGCTCCTTCTCCTGCTGGTGGCCCTGGGTCTGGCCTCTGGCCTCTGGCCACGCCTGCTCTGGCCTTTATCTTTCCACGCCCTGCTGTTGCTAACCTCTATGCAGGCGTCCTCAAACTACGGCCCGCGGGCCACATGCGGCTCCCCAAGGACATTTATCCTGCCTGCCAGGGGTTTTTGCTGCCGCTGCCTGTCCTGCTTAGCAGCCGACTTGTCCCGGGCCCACAGTACACATGCGTGGAATGTGCCCCCACTCTCCAACGGTCTGAGGGACAGTGACCTGGCCCCCTGTTTAAGAAGTTTGAGGACCCCCTCCTAGTGCCTTTGATGTCCCCTACAGTGGCTTTTCATCTTTCCCAGCACCCCATGGAACTCCCTGGAGTGGGATCTGTTTCCCAGGGCCTAACTGCTAGGTATACCCCCCACCCCCCCACCCCATCCCCTCCCCCCCATGCATGCCTCCTTTCCTTTCCAAAGCCAGCACAGAAAGCTGAGGGACTGAGTCTCACTGAAACTGCTCAGGGTATTTGTCAAGGTATCTGTCGTCACAGGCAGGGAAGTGACACACTTTGTCAGGCAAGGGTTCCGGGGCCCAGTGGTAGGAATGCAGCAGAAAGTTCCATCTCGTTCCTCGGTCTTACGCCCTTACCAATAGCCTTCAGTGTGAGCTGGTGATGAGCATTGGTCTGCATTAGGTCAAACCAGCAAATTGCTCTATCTGCGTATTTTTGACCAATAAAAGTGGCCATTTCATAGGCTTCAACCTGCCAGAGAAAGAGGTAGGTAGGGAAAAGATAACAAGTGAATTACCCATGATGCTTTACAGCCAACAATAAAGCTAACATGAGCTGCGCACTTAGCATGCACAAGGCATTCAAACAGCAATGATGATGGCAAACTCATCCACCATGGCTGGTCTAAGTGCCTTATGTACACTGAATCATTTAATCTTCAAAACAGCCCTGCAAGGTCGCTACCATTTTATCCCATGTTATGAATAAGGCGCAGAGATGTTAAGCAACTTGTTTGAGGTCACACAGTAAGTAGCGGGGTCAGAATTTGAAGCCAGGCAGCTCAGCCCCGAAGCGTGTGTGCTGTCAACCTTCAAGGGTAGGGAACCCGAGGCCTTGGGGCCACATGTGGCCTTCTGGATCCTTGAGTGGGGCCTTTTGACTGAATCCGAATTGTACAGAACAAATCATTTTAATAAAGGGATTTATACTACAGGGTATCTTGAAGTAGATGGTGTTATTTCTGTTTTACAGATGAGCAAGCTGAGAAACAGAGAGGTTAAGTAACCTGCCCTACACAGCTAAGAACTCCCTCGAATTCCGCCTTATAAAAAGTTTGGCATTGAATGGCCTTGTTTACACTGTGTATAAGTGTTTTTATGTTATTACTGCACGGTGTCCAGAAGCACAAACATTATTTTCCCGGACAGCAGACTGCATGTCTGTTTAGTGGTGATGCAGTGTGGTTCCCCCAAAGATCTTTCTGTTCAAAGATCCGGCGACCCAGTGGGCAAGTGGATCAACCCAGTTAATCCGATCAATGTGGGACTTCAAGGGTGCTGCAGTGCTTCCACTGGCCACAAGAGGGCTCCATTTCTTCTCCCCAAAATGTCCACAGCCATGACAGCGCTGGGGGCCACAGATGGGAAATGCTATTCTGAACACAACAATTAAACCACATTGAGTGTAATTTTCCAAAAATAAGTGAAATGGTTTGTTTGGTGGAATAACAAATTCCACCGTCTCTTTAACCTCCAAATACAAAGAGGGAAAACCTTTGAATAAAATGAATTTGTTTCACGAGCATGTCTCTCCTTCCTGTTTGGATGATGGCATTTGAAAAACAGTAATTCCCTATTACATTTTCTTAAAAATCCCAACCCCGCCTTTTTTTTTTTTTTTTTTATTGCAACTGAGAATCCTGATGAGCATTTCTGAAAAAGTGATAGTCATTCAGATGTCAGATGATCTGGAGCTTCCTTTCTGAGGCTGTATCACAGGGCATCCAGGCAGGGAAACGAAAACCACATTTGACATTTCGACAGAGGTGATTTAATATGGGGAAGTCATCGCGTCGGCCGGCGTGGGAGAGTTGAAGGCACAAAAGGAACCACCAGGATCATAACGACTAGAGAAGGAGGCTGAGGGAACAAAGGGAAGGCGTCTGGGATTCTCATGACCCACGTGCTCAGGGAAGGGACAATGCAGACACCTCCGAGAGGGGACAATGAGGGTGGTTCTGCCACTGCTGAAAGCAGAGGGACATTGTCAATGCCAGGGTGAAGGGTCCTTACTCAGGCAACAGCAGTTCCACCCCAACCGTCTAGTGCTCTCTAGTGTCCCCTATTGGCAGAACATAACAGGGAGCCAACCAAGAGAGGAAGATAACTCCCAATGTCACTGAGCAAAATACAGACAGGCAGCTTTGGGGCTAAGAGGTGACAGCTTCGTAATTCTCATAGTCTACCCCTTTGATTACTCAGCAACTATACACATTTTTCTGACTGTGTTGTCTAAACGTTCCATACAAAAATAAGAACTTTTTTTTTATTTGGCTACAGATGCTCTCATTTTCCATCACCTTTTTAACTATTGGACCGGGATGTCCAAGAATCACGGTGGAGACTCCCTTGGTTTCCTGACATAGTTCTTGTGTAGCAGAAATCTGATTTCTCTTAGTGATCGGGATCAACCAGTCCAGTAACCCCCCTTTTCTACCGGCTAGTTCAGCAGGCTTAGGAGCCCCAAAGGGCTGACAGACAGTCTCAACTTCCAAACCAGTGGAGCAATTCGTGTATCCCCTGGTGGAAAAGTTTCTCTATCAGAAAAATAGACCTCGGAACCAGAAGAGTGTAAAGCAGGGGTCCTCAAACTTTTTAAACAGGGGCCAGTTCACTGTCCCCCAGACCCTTGGAGAGTGCGCACTGTGGGCCCGGGATGAGTCGGCTGCTAAGCAGGACAGGCAGCGGCGGCAAAAACACCCGGCGGGCCGGATAGATGTGCTAGGTGGCCTGTATGTGGCCCTCGGGCCATAGTTTGAGGACGCCTGGTCTAAAGTTTCAGGGGCAGAAAGCAAACATTCGGTGAGTGGTTGTTGGGTGTAGTTGTGAGAGAAAACACTCCCGTTTCCATCCTTGGCTCCTGGGCCCACATGTTCTGGCTGAGCGAGAAACAGGACTACGTATTGGCCCCTGATTCAAAGCACATGTGGCATCCTGTTGAGACAGAACCTGACCTTCAGGTTTGGTCTGAAGGTCAGGACCCTGATCTTCTCCCAAATTGTGCTGTGATTGAGGCTTCCATGGGCCATCCTGTTTTCTAGAAGGCCAGCTGCTCATGGATGATGGGTGTGTGTCAAAACCGGTAGATTCCACAGACATGAGCCCCTCCTTACAATGTTTTTTTTTTTTGTGTGTGTGTGTGTCCAATGAGTTCTTTGGTCAGAAGCAATACTTTGTAAAATTCTATGCATGTGAATAAGGCACTATGCAAATTTAAGAATAAAAGCTTTCTTGGTCATGGGTCTTTGTGATGGCCAACACACATCCTGGCAGAGACTACTTACTGCATTAGACGACAAAGTCCTAAAAATCAAGCCAGATCTGCTCTCTGTCCTGACCTTCTTCCTCTTCCAGAATTTCTTCTTTGTTTCAACGTAGGATTTCTGAGGACAGATGATGAAGGGCTATGGGCCCTACGGAGGGAGAGCCAGGTTTTCACTAATGCCTGCATTTCAGCATGTCAGGAAGAAAGTGGGAAAGCGGAAAGGGAATGAAGTCACACATGCATTTTGGGGCACATGTTTGTCTGAAGATGACTTGGCCTCAACCTCAGTGTTTATTTTCCTGAGTATGATGGTTTCGTGAAGAATAGTTACCCCACACTCACATGCCTTCAATCATAATTTGTATTTATGCTTACTTTAAGGGAGAAGCAGGTGAATGCAATGTTTTCATTCACGAGGACCAAGAACCTAAGCAATTTCCCCTCCAGTTGCTCAGCACAGTGATTGTAGTGCTGCTCAAGCTTAGTGCTAGTTGTCAAGACAGCAACACCTTTGATGTGTAGAACCAATACCAGATCCAACACGAATCCTGCCTGGTATTTTGACAAGCATTTAAAGAGCTGTAAACTTACCCCCAAACACTGAGCATTTTAGGAGCAAACTGATAGGAACTAACTCACAAGGGAAGGCATATCTAGAAGACATGAGCATCGATCCAGTTCTAAATGGTTGCTTGGTTTTCTACAGAACAAAGGCTCACCATCTCTTTCTACTTGGGTTGATTGACTTCTTTTCACATTTCAATAGCTTGCCTTGTGGTCAAAATTCTCATCACCCTGTGACTAGGGAAAGAAGAAAGTTGAGCTGTTCTTTAGACATACATAATCAAGAGTTTTCTCAGTAAACTTTTAATGAGGATCTACTGAATACCAAGAGTCGGTCAAGGTACCGAGCATACCGTTATGGTGCTTCTACACGTCAGGCCAGCCTTCGTGGACCACAGTAACTGGAAAAGAAGCAAATCTTGGTTCATCTGTGCATGGGAATTTCATTCTCTTCCTAATTCCTCCTTCTGGTTTGGGCTGTTTGGTGGAGCATGTCAACGTTCCTGCAATCAGTTCCTTTGCGTCTTCTCATTAGGGCTACAAACCTTGCATGGCCAAGAATTCCTCCTTGGTGGCCTTGTTGCTGGGGCATATGTAAGTTATGCATTGGGATGCAGTGACTGAGCCCAAACCAGGCAGCTCAAGCCTCTTGTCAGATTCTAAAGGTGACAGCAATGCCAGAAACAAGGAAACACACTAATGGGGTCAGGAGTTATGTGAAGTAAAGAACAAGAGGCCAAGAACTTGTCTTGGACAGGGATTTCAGGCCAGGCTACCAGCCAAGATTCCTCATGCTCTGCACTGCCTGTCTCCAGGATGCTCAGAGCGTGGGCAGCACTGTCTAGAGGTATGTGCACGATGTTTGTGTCCCACCAACATTCATACGTTGAAATCCCAACTGCCAATGTGACAGTAATAGGGCATTTGCGGGGGGGGGGGGCTTTTGAGTGGGATTAGTGCCCTTATGAAAAGGACCCCAAAGAGCTGCTTTGCCTTTTCCACCATGCAAAGATACAGCAAGAAGAGGGCAGTCTGCAACCTGGAAGAGGCCCCTCCCCCAAACCTGATCATTCTGGCACCCGGATCTCAGACTGTCAGCCTCCAAAATTGTGAGAAATAAATGTCTGTATTTTAGAAGCCACCCAGTCCGCCATGGTACTTTGTTATAGTAGCCTGAGCAAACTGAGACATTGTGCAGTGCCCAACCTGCACAACTGTACAAGCCGTGCTCTGAGGTCTGTTGCTTTTTCTCTTGGGCACTGGTGCCATGGGACATGAGGGCTTGAGTGGCATGCCAGGATGAGGCAGACATACCAGCCTCTTCCTCATCTCTTCGTTGTTGTCTCCATCCAATCTGTCGTGTCTTCTCGTGTCAATAGTCTTATCGTCTCTCAGAACCACCTCTGTGCTTAAACCACAAGAAGTACTCCCTATTCCCCTGGTTTTATACAGAATGTAGTATAACCACATTGTATTTGTCTCAGACTTTTAAGAAATCTTCCTCCTCCAGGAAGAAGGCAGCCCGATGGTTTCTCTCATGATGAGTGTTGGTTGTCCTCTATAACTGCTCCAGCTCCTAGCTCACTTCAACATGGCCCTTAAGAACTTTCCTGCCCTTCACGAGTGCTGTTCTCATCTGCTATACCATAAGAAATAGTCATAGTAACTCCTGTTCTTATGGCTTTCAGGATTTTCCCTCAATATCAGCACTCAACTTCTGGTTAGATGTCTTCCTCATGAGGCTACTTGACCCCTCATGCGTGTGGACACCCCAACCCTTTATTCAGCTCCTGTTGTAGTCATTAGCCCTGCTCACAATTGTTTCACCCTTCCAGGTGCATGGTAGGATTGTGCTCACCTACCCTTTGAAGTTCCACATAGTGTATCATTTATTTTGTCAGGGATATGTGAGCAGATACTACACTTCTGGGTAGGAGCTTCAGAAGCCAGGGCATGATTTGTCATGCCTCGTTCCCCTGATGAGATGGCCAAGCGTTAGGGAAACTGCAAGGAGGTTTTGGTCTAGGTCCAGTTGCTTGTAGCACAAAGATCCAATTATTGAGACAATGGCGATTTCCAAGGCAGAAAGGAATTTTTAATACGAAAGACATCTTGGCAGGAGAACAGGAGAAGCTGCCTCAATTCATCTTCCTGACTAACGGAGATCATGGGCTTTTTGAGGAGTGGCCATGTGCCTTGGGGCAGGTCGTGGTGTAATTAACAAGGGGCTGTGTGCATTAACAAGGGGCAGGTGAGTGTTGGCATCAGCAAGTCTGCCCAGGAGCCTCTAGAACCTCAATTTCTTTATCATGCAGAAAATCCACCATTTCTAAGAAATAACTCAAAAGGTCAAGTAATTAGTTAAAGGAAAGGCTTACAAAAAGTATACAGAGGTCATCGAAATTTGTTCGTAGAGCCACTTCTACAAGAAGACATGTGTCGTGATGCAACATGCAATGCTTGGGTCCCCCATGACTAAAATTAGGAGAGTCTGCCTGCCAACCCATGAGGGACATGTAACATGAACAAGAATT